AAAGTAGCTGATTTGCGCTGGAATCAATTAATACAAATGGAAGGTCCACTTATATTGCCGCGTTACTTTGAAAAACTCTATTTGGCTGGTAAGTAATTGATAGTTGATAACTGTAGCAAGTTTTAATATTTTGTAGTTGGTTAGGTAATCCTTGGAACTGTACGCGTAATTTTAAATGGTTACTTCTACCAGAACAAGGTGCTGCAGTTGTTGATCGTGGTGAATTGTTATGCGCCGATCGCAAATATAAAGATCGCCTTATGTTGGCAGTTATGCATTATAAATTAGTATGTTTGATACACTGAAAAAAAAATAGTTTATAATTCATTGTCATTTATAGTTATTGAAAGAAGAATGTCAGTCACACCCTGACTTACAAAATTGTACTTGCATTATGCATCATATAATACCGAAGTCCCACATACCACTTTATACTGTCAATTGCTCCAATTTGAATTTCCAACGGCTGCCCGCATACATACCAGCAAATACGACTATGCTCTTCCTTAACAATAATCAGGTAAACGCTATATGTGTACATCCACCTAATTGATTAACTTCTAATAGTATCTATGGATTATGTTGAACTATTAAATTTATATTATATCTATTAGATAACTGATGTCTTACCTTTGCGTAATAATGTTAATTACCGTCATGTAGTGGATGTGCATTTGGACAATAATCTTGTAGAAAGTATTGATGTCCTCGAAGGAGGCTATTGGCTCGAGCACTTTCGTCTATTAAGTTTACGTGGCAATAAGTTAAGAAAGGTGCGTATGTACTAAGTCTAATCAAGCTTATATATATATATTCTGCTTATCTTACAGTTGCCAGTATATGCTTTGGATAATGCCTTGGAAGATAATGCAAATGCAAATCTTTTACTTCTTAGCATGAATCCGTGGTTTTGTTCGTGTAAATTTGCTATGAGTTTTCGGGAGACTCTTATTAAATATAATTCCATTTTACGTGATTCTTGGAATATAACTTGCACTTACCAACAAGGAGATGATCTAAGGCAAGCGAAAGTGTTATCCATAACACGGCAAGATGTTTGCAAATTAAATGAGGATCCAAAAGTGCATCCATTGGATATGCTGAATGGTGTTTTAGCTAGTTTAATTTTATTTATATTAGGCAAATTAGCTTATGATTATTATCATTATAAATATTATGGACGTGTACCATGGATAGTAATGAAGTTACCTTAAGAAATGTAGGTGTAAATACTAGTGCTTCAAATACTATTCGAACGATTTAAAGCTTCGAGCATTTTTATGCCTAAATAAGATTGAGTTCGGACGCACAAATTCGAAAATGGTATGATACTCGAACCTTTCGAATATTGAAACATCTGAAGTAATCAAATGTTTATATTCAAGTATATGCTCGAACACTTTGAAGTACTACTTAATACTCATCGAGCGAATATTTTGCTCCTAACTCTATGTCTAAAATGGCTAGTCTCTGACAAGATTTGTATGTTCGAATGCAATATCGTATTATTTTGGTATTTAAAAATAAAATTTGCATGTATTAGTAAAAAAGCGAGAGTGTGTGCAAAAATCTTACCAAATTCTAGTCAATTTTCGTATTCAATTATACTCAGTTTGCTCGAACATCGTAATGTTCGAACCCTAAAAGTGAGAGTACTGCTCTCAACTTGTTGTCTTCAATGATTAGTCTTTGAGAATATTTTTACGTTCGAATGGAAATCCGTATTTCTATATTCTAAAAATGTATATGTGTAAGTGATAAAGAGGGAGTGTGTACAAAAATCTTGCAAAAGTCTAGCCAATTTAGATACAAGTTTAACATGAAGGCACAAAATCATGAAAATATCTAGTAAATATCTAGGAAATATCATTACTTCGGAACTAGTCTTTAAAATGGACAGCTAAATTCTAAGAATATCATTACTTCAGAACTAGTCTTTAATATGGACAGCTAAATGCTATTCTATTGGAAGCTACAAAAAAGAAATTTCGCAGACGAGCAAAACGTTCGCTTGGTGAATTTTAAGTTTCAAAATTCAGAAATGATAAATTTATATGTAAAACCAAACGCTTAAGTATTATATTGTAAATATTTAAAATAATAAAATGTAACTTAGCAATAAGAAAATATAAAATTTTAAGATAGATATGTAAGATTAATTGATATTCCATGTTAGTGATATAAACACACATATATATATACATATAAATATTTATGTATACTATTGTAAATACTTATTTATACAAATTTAAAAAAGAAATTTGATAAGAATATTTATTAAAATCAAAAATGTAATATATAATAATATTAGAAATATTATAAACAATAAAGCCGAGTCATTCCTACAAAACATTAATTTGTTTGCAATAAATTGCTTCAATTTTCGTTTTTAGTCGAGGAGGACGATTCTCTTATTAATAGGGAAGCAATAACTCAGGAAAAGGTAGCAGTACTTTTTTTTTAATCCAATCATCTGATTTAATAATAAAACGTTTAAATTAGATTCAAAACCAAAATTGACATTTGTATCGAAAGATGCTACAATATCAAGAAAGTACTAGGAAGCAGTTAATGACACATAATATATATATTACTCTTCGTATATATTACTCTTCAAAATTTAATCTTTGAAGTAAGCGCCTTCCGAAATAATACATAAAGGCCAATGAAAAACCCAATCATCAAATCCATCAATTATTTTTCCATTAAAAGCACCGATACGTCAGCTTCTACTGGCATTAAAAAACGGACTAAATTGACAGAGAGAAACAAGCATCTTAGTCCGTTCAGATGAAAGATGATATGTCAAAATGGCGAATAAATTTTCATTCTTCTACTGATTAGTTTTGAAGGCGACTCCTTCAAAATTTTTGAGCTAACTTGTATGACTCACTTGGTATGCGCCATTGCGAAATTGACTCATTCTATCATGTCTTTAGCGAACCTTACGTGATTGAGTTTTTGCAGACAATATAGGTCCTTCCGCATTAATCGAACGGCAATACATTTTTCATACCCAAACAATCGTTTAAAATGGTACAAATTGAATTGTGTCCTACAGAAATGTCAGAGAATGGCTCTCTCAGATATAAGCATGTATTTTCAGACCCCGTTTTTTTTTTAATTTAGTGATATTAAGTTCAGCTGAAGAAGTTGATGATTTACCAGAACGAGGAATATTTTCCACCACTCTCAAACAGAGCGGTGCACCACTGATTTGCATGTGTTTCTGATAAAGTCGATCCACCATGATTCTCTCAGATTTAAGGCCCCTTATTTTTTACTTTAGTGATATTAAGTTCAGCTGAAGAAGTTGATGGCTTATTAGAACGAGAAATATTTCCGACTCCATATCAACCAAACCGGTGCACTCTTGATTTGCATGTGTTTCTGATAAAGTCAATCCACCATAAGGGTTAGGCAACATTTTTAGCGCTGCGGCACCAGAAATTTCATTTTCAATACAAAAGTTAGGATTATTATGATTATATTGATAAAATGGTGTACACTAAAAATCTAAAGAAAAAGGGACGACTGAATTTCGCTTAAGTAAAGAGAACTGTTTGCTAAGTTAGCAACAAAGAGGATATCCACAATCCCTTTAACCAGGAGTTTTAACTTATCGATTCCAGGTATTTCCTTGAATGAATGGATCATATATTTGTAGTAAATCATCAACGAAAGGTAGACAGTTCTACTTCATAAAATAATTGTTAAATTATTAGGACCCGCTGCGACCTGCTTGTGCAGTCCCTTTCGAGAGTGTTGATTGGCACTTGGTTGTTGGGGTCGATAAGTGGATACGGGACGTAGACCCTGCCGTTCTTGGAAACTTTGATTTATCTTGGTCAGTTACTCTTAATATACTATAATATACTATACTTAATATATATATATATAATAGGTGATCCTAATGGTGCGGATTGTTAGTATCCCATTGACCGAAGGTTGAGAAATATTATTTTTTAATATTTGTAATGTATATAAAATTTGTAAAAAAAAATTCTATTTTTATATGAAAAAGAGTATAAAACATTGCATAAACTTTCTACTTTCATAAACAAAACATTTTATTTTATTTGATTTTTTGATATTTTTTTCTTTTCAGTTCTAAGTTAAAAACTACTACAAACATTGCATTTGTTATTTATATATGGAACGAGATATTCTATTTAAATATATTTACTACTGCATGGCAACAAAAATCTAAACATTAATAGTAAATGTAAATATAAAATAATTTTATAATAACTCAGTAATAAAATAATATTATATAAATTTAATATTTGTTGTCATTTAAAAAAATCACCAATGGAGTATGCATTGCACAAATGGAAATATAAATTGCACAAGAAATTACTATAAAAAAGCTGCTAATTTTCGGAATGTTTTCCTTTCCAAATATTCGTAATTTTTAATTTTAATTTTAATTAAAACTTAATTGCTAAAATTCACTTAAATTAATAACAATTATTAAAATATATAAAACTTTTACAATTATTATTGACGGAATATTTTTTTAATTGGCACAATATCTTTTTAATATTTATGCTTACACTAATTTAAAAATACATCGAGATAAAAATATCTTTTAACTAATGGAATGTATATCATTCAGATATCGGACTAAGTTTTAGATATTAAGTGTGCGTACATCATGGATATATATACGCTGTGATTATGAGATAAAATGGTACATGATAAGGTACATGAAAAAATATGACTTAAAAATAAACAACAATTTTTTAATAAAATAGTTTTTTAGTACAGCGAGCAAGAAACAACAATGTAAATAGCATAAATATTGTTATCTAAAAACTTTGTACTAAAATTCTTAACAAAAAAGAACAAATACAAAAACAAAACGCTAAGTAAAATATATAACAAGCATATAAGTATACCTAAAAGATAATGGAATAAAAACAATTTTAGTTTTTTTTTTTAAATTGATATTTTGTTAGTAACAATTAAAATTAAAACCGAATTTTTCGTTATTTTCCTGTTAGATAAAATTTATAAATTTTATATAAATTTTATATAAACAATAGCTCCATGAATAGCTAAATATTGCCTAAAGTGAGAAATAGGAAAAATAAAAACACCGGGCGTCAATGAATTTTTAAAGCTTCTTCTCTGATTTGTCACAACGAGCCATTCTTTGAGCTCAAGTTGGCTTTGAATACAAGGCTGCCGCAATAACTTATCCTCTCTGTATCTGTTTCAAAACTTTATAGTTCCAAAAAGGTACTTCTAAAAGCTTCAGAAATAAAATAAATTAACTTTTTAATATCAAAATAAAGGTTGAGATATTACAACAGTAGCTTTCAAAGAAAGCTTAAGAGTAAAAAAACTGGTACAATAGGACTCTTCTGGCCGCAGTACCGGCTGTTGGGCAATTTTCACGTTATTATTATTATTATTATTATTATTATTATTATTATTATTAAGCTTAAGACTAATAATATTAAAAATACAGACATTAATCTTTGATTAAAGGATCAAATTAAGGAACATCCATTGTTTACAATTGGTAAATTGATTTAATTTAAAGACAAGTACATATCAACATAATGCAGCGGTTCACTTTTAAGAGTATTTTCTCTTTCATATTATAGATGTTTTTGTTGTAGCCCATGAGGATCTATCTAGTAGATTCTATGAAAAGAATTACAAATACAAAGACATAGGTTACGATATGGTTGAGTATAGAAAATACGTAAAGAAAATGTAATTGTAGGGATCAAGAGCGGATAATGTATAAGTAGGATTTTAATATGACAATCCCGGGTGGAGACGTAGACAGGGTGTCTTCACTACATTTAGGTCATAGGTCGCCGTAACTAATCTACCATTTAGACTCCAATGACCAACAATGGTTTTTGTATAAGTCTGAGACAGATAATATTTTTCTATTTTTGTTTTCTAACCTGTACAAGGTAGCGATACTCTAGCATTTTAATGTTGCTAATGTTTTTCTATTGAGACACAACTGATTTTTGTGTAGTCGGGAACCTATTTGTCAAGCAGTTTTTGAGTGCTTGAGCAGCAGTTTTATAATTTTATATATTCTTAAAATTATGGAGTATTTTTAAAAATGCGGTTTAATGAAGCAATTGCTACTTCATGGCTCTTTGATATCTAAGATAAGTAACATAATCGTATAAATCCGCCCCTGTACATGTCTGTAAGCAAGAATTGTAAAATGTTTCTATAAATTTGGAGAAACAGTTAAATGGCATGAACAACTCAGGGACCTTTAAATTATTGGTACTTGTGAATTTTAAATTTAGAGAAACTGTTAAGTGGCGTGAGTTGTTATAAACATATTTTTAATAATAATTTCTAATAATAAAATGATTTACATTTAAACAATCGAGTTGTTTTATTTAGCAAACAACAATACTGGTAGATATGGTAACTCGACTCCTACCAATAAGACCATCTTTGATTGGTTTTATTATTAAGTTTATTATCTACTATAATTAACTATCTAATTGAGCTGTTAATAGAGCTGTCGGGCAATAGACATTTAATAGAGCTGTCTGTAATTAAAATGTTCCATACAGAAAGTAAGACAAGTTTTATGAAGAAGCACAGAAAAACGATTCCCCGGATTTCGGTGTAAAAAACAAAAAATTCGGCTTTTGTATTTTACATATAAAAATAAAAAATGTTACTAACATTATAATATTTTCATATTGGCAATGTGTCACAATAACACTTCATAATATTTTATACAATAATTTTGGGTGGTTATAGTATGTTAATATTCCTATTTTACGTTGAGTATTTTACCTTTTTAAGTTTAATTCTTTTTTAAACTATCCATTTCTTATCTAGAATAGTACATAGGAATGATCACGTTCTAAACGTTTTTTAGCACGTAGAGAAATTTTTCCCATAGGATCAGAAGGAGGTGGTATGCCAGTTATTGTATGCACCGGTTCTTTGTAAAAGACTTCAGTGCGTCCAGATTTATAACCATAAAAAACAGTTTCATGAGATCTACAGACATAAGAAAACAATAATGAATTTATAAAATATATTAATAAAATCATAAATTACCTTAAGATTATATCAGTCAGCTCATTACCAGTACTTTTGAAGTCACGATGCAAACACTCAAGGGTGTTAAGTTCTACGGGACTCCAAGGACCATTACGTTCCAGTGCATCCCAACTGGAATCTACACACATAAAACTATAAGCGCCGTCACGTTTATCACCCTCCACATTTACATTTAATGTCTGATTTAAATGTGATTCCATATGAGGGAATTTTGCAACACAAATATCAAACTATAATAAATATTTTTAATATAATAATTTTATACAATATAATAAAAATATTGTGTGTTACCATTTTTTGCACGGTTTGTTTTTGCCGGGACACACCTTCCTCCATTAATAAAATCAATGTCATATTCTGTTGTCCACATATATACAGCTCCAAGCGTTGTACGCCTTCGGTACAATTTTTCGTTTGCAAAGGTAAAGTAGCTAAAGCATCAACGGCATCATCACATTTTAAGGAACTGCGTCGCGGAAATCCTTTCGTAGCTGTAGTGTAAGAAGGTGTTTGAATTTCAATGGCGCCAGCCGGTGTGTTATCCCAATTTGGCCTTTCTTCATTTATAGCTAAAACGGAAAGTTTTGCCATAAGCGGCGTTAATGGTACCCCACCAGACTGTTTTCGAGTATTGCCAAAAGTAGGTATATTATCCTTTGATGGTGTAGCATCAGACAATGGCTTAAGCGGTAAACTAAGTGCTTTCTTATCCATTGGTGTTTTTGGTTTCTGTTCTACAGTGAATTCTTGTATATTCAAATTACGATCTGCTTTAAAATTTGCTGTTGCTGTCGCTTCATGCCGCAATGATTCATCAAGTTTCTTTAATTCATTGTCGAATTCTTTAAATTCCTCAATAAGTTGCGCTATTTCGGCATCCTTTTTATTTTCATCTGTTGCATCCCATAGCTTATAGTACTTTTCGAGAAACTCCTGAAACAAACTACGTGATATAGGTTGTCCGTTTGCATTAAAAACAGGATTGGTGGGATCTGTAATTGTACGAGAAGTACGATTATTTTCATCGGAATTATCCGAGTTCTGCTCATCGTCATTTTCAATATAATCTGGAGTTTCGATATCGGTAACTATATTTCCGTTACGATTAACGTCAGTCTTTATGCCATTCGAGAATTGTTTAAGTGATAATTTTTTAGATATTTTCTTTAAAGAATCGTGTAAGTCGGTGAAAGAATTTCGTCGCTCCATATGCTTATTGGGATTGGTGATAAAATTTTGAAATAATCTTTCCAAATCGATTTTAAGCGAGTTACGTCGATTATTATACTTCGAATTCACTTTATTCGAATTGTTTTCATCCTAAAAATATAAATGATTTAGAGTATTTATTATAAAAAATAGTAACAAAACTTACTTCTGGATTAGCACAAATAGACATTATATTGCCGACTTGCAAAACTTTATTTTCAGCCAATGGTGTCGAGCACACACTGGTACGTCCAATAAATTCTGGATATGAATCGGTTTCATCAAAGTTTATTGAGGATATACCTGATTCAGGTAATTCTTTAGCATTTAAGTTCTTTAAACGCAGTGGCAGATGTGTTGGTCGTGCCATTAACGTTTTTGGACGCATTGGTTGCGTTGTTTGTTCACTGATACTAGCTTCAGTACTAACACTTCCGGTACCTTCTTCTGGTATATTTGTAAATATTAAGGATTTATCACGTTTTATTTTACGTTTAGCATATTGAAACGGTAGAGCACCGAGTTGTGTAGTTTGTAAATTTTGGGCACGTTGTGCATCAGCCGACAATTTTCTATACTCAACTATATCGACGTAAACAACAATCATTTGTACGCCATTCGGTATATGGAAATCGGTTATGACGATTTGCTCAGCGGGTGTCCTAATATGTAAGGGATTCGCCAACACTATATGTTTGGTAATAACATCGGTTAGTTGAGTAGCAACGACTCTGGAATATTGAAAAGTAGATAAATATATGAAATATATAAAAAATTTAATATATAACTTACTTGTTATGATACAGTATGGAACCACCAAGAATGCCTTTAGTTTGTTGACAACATTGCAGGGTTTGTATAGCATCCAAAAATATATTGCTAGCGGTCTAAAGAATTTAAAATAAAAAATGGATATTAAATATACGTTTTATAAATTATTAATATTAGTATTAGTGTCAATCAATAAAAGTTTCTACGTATCAAGTGAAAAGAAAATAAAACAATAGATGGATTGTGTCTATCTTTTGAAATCTGGCATCAAAAGACAGTATCAGTGTTGTTAAGTGTGGGTATCTGCCTTAACGAATTAAGACCACGGTGCTCTATAAACACTTGTATGAAGATAATGCGCCAATAAACGCCCCATTGGAAATTCCATAGATTTTCCAATAAAGTTATGTGTTCAGGACATAACTTCCAATCATACCCAATCATTGTACCCGCGTAAGTTTGGGTATTAATCACAGCCACTACGAGTCCAACCTCAACTGGTTAGCACAGCCGACGCTGCGGGCCACTGACCCCCGTAGTACCAGATTTATAGCTCTGGTCGAGTGTCGCAAGTGGGTCGATCATCTCAACTCAACTCGAGTCCAAATGAAGAAACCTGGCTTCTTCAATGGGGTAGGTCAATGGATGATTGTGAGTGTAATGGGCCAACACCGGTCAGGTCTACATTCCGGAGCCACTCATCAGACACAAGGACCAACTGGCGTTCACCACCCAGTTTATATTTCACATTTGTCGTCTATATTTGTTTAATAATGGCACCGAACTGGTTGGTTATGAACCGAATCGGTTACAAAACGGAATCTTTGACTTTTTAGTGTAATTGGACTGTATCGTAAATCTAAACATTGCGACTTTTTCCCGGCTTTTTGTAGAATTTATATACTAGTTTTTGAATCGAACCACTTGTTTAGAATATCGAACGTCTCAACCGAGTCAGTTTAGTAATTTATTCGCTACACAATACTTTTTTTCATATTGCAATCAAGCCTTCTAAAACTAGTGTCAGTTTAGCATCGAATGTCTCAAGCAATCCACTTTAGGAATTCAGTAATAAATCAAATAATAGTTACCTTTGGCATGCGTAGCTTAGGTATATTTTGAAAAATATTTCCATTGTATTGTAAAACAGGCAGATATGTCTCGAATATATGATATAATTTGTCGGATAAATTCTTGTACTGTCCTTGTGTTGAAAATTGATCAAAAATTGTTTGCAAATCACAATGAAAGAACTTCACCAAAGCTGAAAGTAAATCAGCACGATGCTCGAGTAAATAATCTGATATATTACGATCCGTGCCAACAGCCTGAAAGAAAAAATATATTTTACAATTAAAATAAAATCCCTTAATTGTAATTATTCTATTTAACTTACCAATATGAAGCGTCCAAATTCCTTTAAAACGAATTTGCCGTTCTGGAGGGACAAAATGCGAGGCTTGAAAAAGCAATCCTTTAGGAAATATGTTGTGCCCATTAATTGTCCACACAGTGCCACTTTCTGTGTATCAGATACCCAACTAGGATGAAAGTAAAGCACAGCGTTGACGGGATCGTCTGCTTCCTCTTTCAGACACTCCGTGTCATAAACAAACACAATCATCGTTTCTCTATAATTAAAAAATAAATTACGTTTTATTAATTATAATCAACTTAATTATTATATAAAATAGTTTAATTGAAGATAAATAAAAATTATAGACCTTTCCTCCTTATTTTTATTTGTACTTAAGAAAACTTCATGCTGAAAAGAAGTCCAGCGTTTAAAATTATTCTGAAGCAAACTTTTAAACATTTTCGCAATTAATTTTTATCGAAATTTATGGAATTCGGTTGACACATTCTGTGAGTTATAGACGTTTATGTGTACTAAGCCAGTGAAAAGCCAACAAAATCTTAAGTGCCTATAAGAGGCAATACACTTATCGTGTACGGTGTGGTTTGATAAGACTTTATAACTGAAACGACAACTGATAAACGGTAGCATAAACGCAAAAACATCTTTCGTCATTCAAACGCGTCTGTTTGTCTGTTCGCTTGAATAGTTCGATACACGCAGTTTGGGAGAAGATATCGGTTACATGGAAGGGAACAGTCATTAACTTTCTGTTGACACGAAAGACGGCTAAAAATTTGTGGACGCGACGTAGAGGGCGGGACCCAGCAAACAGCAATTAGCTAATTGTAATATGAGAGAAAATTAACAAAGCAAAGAAATGCTAATTAACATACAATATCAATTTAATATACAGTAGCACTAATGAATAAAATAAATATTCTTACATACATACAAACATACATAAGCCATATGTAAATATGTTCTGGTGTAAATTTATTAACAAACAGAAATTGGATTCATTTGTGAAGAAAACGTTGACCGTGCTGAAGTAAAAATAATTCAGAGAATTATACATTCTATCGTCTGACTGCTTAGTAATTCGTTCTAATTTCTAATATTATATGAAATAATTATTAACGGTCCTTCAAACGAAAATAATCGAAATATTGGGTAAGACTAACAAAATACATCAACAGGTGAGGATGGAAAAATTATGGATTTGTAAAGGAATCAACAAGAGTTAGTGCTAATTAAAAACTTTGAAAAGAGAATTGGGCAACGAAATTCTGTACATGCTGCAATAATAGAGCTACCCAATAAAGGTTAATTTCGCTGGTACTCATACAGGTAACAGCACTTTCAATGTTGTAGTAACGCGTGGAAATCTATCGGCCATATAATATAAAAAGAATTATAACGACGTATACATGGATTAGGATCTGGAAAAGTGATGGTAGTGTGAGGAGTAAGGACAGAGGAGATTGTTAGGAATAAGAATGGAGTAATGGTGAGAGTAGAAGTTGAATAACAAAATACCGTTTAACATTCCCAAAAAGAACTAAACCAGCAGTCTTCCAGTCGGACACATCTATTGCCCATTATGATGCCGCGAAAGTCAATCCAGTATATTGGAAAAAAAATTTTTGGTATTTTAATTACTATTATTAGGAGTAACAATGATACACCTCATCCTCTGAGAGCTATTGTACTATCTCTGTAGAAAGTCTATTCAGGAACTGAAAAATATTTCTCAACTTAAAACTGTAGATCTTATTCGGTTCAATGAATCAGATTCAATGATCAGATAAGATAAACAGAAGTTAAGCTATTCATTTTACAGAATTTGCAGACGACAGATACGGTTTGGTTGGTGTGGCGACTGTGTGCACCAAAGCACATTTGTTTCCAAAAATCCGCCGGTTGTGACAACACGGAATAACAAAAGAACTGCAGCGGTCATTGTACAGATAATGCTTAAAGGCATGACTTCTTCATTTAGGTGAAAGTGAACGAACATGACAAGTCCATATACTTGGCTATATTCCTAATTTTGCAGAATGATAACTCTGTAAAGTGGATAAGAAAAGCTGTCCAATGAAAGGTACCACCTAAAGGTACCACCCAAGGAATAACTTCTTGAAAGTATCCGCTACGTTGCTTTAAGTTCAGATTAATTCAAACTGCTTGTGTCATTTAGAAATATATATTTCAAATGGTAGGAGTGTAGACAAAGTTTTAAGTGGGAGTTTGTCATTTAGAAAGTCAAGTTTCAGGTATGAAGCCAGCTGCCATGATAAATTTCTAAAAAGTTTACATTTTTGTGTAGAAGTATTATATTCAGATGTTTGTGGTTTACCAGCCATTTTTATCTAAATTATCTATTATTTCAATATTAATAGGGCACCAAACCGAGATAGATAGAATCGACGCCAGTTGCTTATTGCTAATCGGACAAAGTTTAATCTAAAGAACTTATTTTAAAGTTACGAAAGTAGTGTACGAAGCTTTGCTACCAGAGAATCTAACCTTATTTTTGAAATTTATAAAGTTTGTACCTACACTCTGTAACATTCCTGCTTCAATGGAAGCACAACCATTTCTAGCTGTATCTGGAAATTTAAAGATTTCTTCATTGCTCTTATGTTTTTTTAAAAAATTATGATAACGGAATGGTATGCTTTTATTCAAACTACCGCTTATTAAAATCTACACGAATGGAAAAGTATTGCATTCTATCATACCAACTATAGTCCTCACATACTTTTCGTGATTCAGTTTAAATTAAGACCTTAACTGGTATGCTTTAGTACTGACAACGGTACTAATAAATAGATTTTCATTCCCAGCGAACTCTGCAATACTCTTTTACTGACGTCAAGAGTTAACTATAAGAAGCACCTATATTCGGTGTTGAGGGATGAAAACATGTTAATTAAGGTTATACCGGTGATCCTAAAGATCCACTTAGGTCTATTGCTAAAATCACGTAAATTTAAAGAAAAGTTTTTTTACCGAGAAACTGCACATTTTTAAAATATGAAATGCTCTATACTTTTTACAAATCCAATATATACATAGTAATTTTGACTATAGTACTTAAAACATACGATAAGGTTATTAAAATGTAAAAAAATGACAGGCGACAGATTATTTTTATCACTAATTTTAAGTTTTAATTAAATATTAATAAGAAATGTTAATAAGAAATAATTTCCAAGACTCGAAACAGCTGTTTAGTTAGCCAAAAATTTAATTAATTAAAATAATACATATAATAGAATTTTTGTTGTTGTAATTAACTACTTTTCGAAACCTCTTCGTTATTAAGAAAGGTTAAATTAATTCTAACAATTTTGTATTTAAAACAATTAGTATAGAAATTTTTACAAATGTCACCACTAAACAGATTCCACTTTGTTCTCATTTTCCCATAGTTTATCCTAACATATCATATCTAATACTAACATTAACTTATTTTAATAGAGTATCAATAAATTGCAGTGCACTTATAATCTAGTTAGTATACTTTAACAAAACAAATACCAAAAAAAAAAAAATATATATATACACCAAATTTTTACAAAAATCAAATAATAAGTATAAATAATAATATTAATTAATCGTACATTTCTTATCACCGCAGCAAATTTAAATTAAAAACGCCAGAACTTAGGAGACATGCAAATTACAGTGTAAATAAACCATGCAACATTGTAAACTCTGGAAAAAGATAACAAATTTATTAAATATATTAACAATTAATTAAATTCAATATTTTTTCTTATTATTGAAGCCATAGACAAAACATTCCAACACCAAAACACAGTATAACAATTTTATCTTTTGTTTGTGGGAGTGTCATTTTTTTCTAGTTGCACTTGATAATGAACTTACTTTGCCATTTTTGTATAACAAAAGTTTTTGATATTTATAAAAGGATATATAAATAAATACTTTTCTATTTTATCTGCACATTTAATACATTTTATATTATTATATTACATATTGGCGATAACATTTCAATGTTTTTAAATCTGTTATCGCTAGACAAAATTCCGCCAGTAAGCAAAGGTATTTTTACAATTAGCAAATAAAAAATTCGAACTGTCAAATAGCAAAATATATTGATTTTCGAAATTCGAAATTGGCCATTTAGAAATACAGTGTCATTGAAACTGTATGAAAATAGTGTAAATGTGTTCGCTAAGAATGTAAGTTATTAATGAATTAAAAATTCAAAATTTATTATTCAAAAGACGGGTTTAAAATATATTGTTTAAAAACACATATAAATTTTTTATAATTTTCGTAAAAATTCGAAAGGAGATATATGAAAAGTTATGTGTATTTACATATTTGCAAAGAATAACATATTTCAAAGAATATGTTAAAAAGAGCAGCGGATATGATATAATGAATATTCAAGAGAGAATACAAACTGGAAATAGTTCCTACTACAACATAAAAACGCTCATATCATTAAAAAGACATCAAGAAAATTAAGGATGTTATATTAAAAAATAAAGATTAAATTTGGCATATCAATTGAACCCTTGATACTTGCAGTCTCAAAAAAAATTATTTACAAATAATTAAATATAAGAAATAATTTCCATGACTACTGAAGACGTGTATTTGGCAATACTCAAACAAGCTGAATGGTCAACCAAAAATTCAATTATCTAAAAATAAAAAAAAATTTTGTTGTTGCAATTCACTATTATTGAACACCTCTCTATCAATTATAATATAATAAGCGTATTATAACTTTAATTTTTCATTTTTTTGTGGGTTTTAAGGTCAATTTTATTTAATTTTAGGATGAACAAAGTAAACAAAATCCAATTGACCTATTAGTCAACACAAAATTTTAAACGAAATTAATTTTTGTCATTAAAACAAACGAACTCATTAATTTGTATTTATTTGAACTTTTATAATATTATGCAATCCACCTTTCTGTTAACATGAAATATATAGCGTTTTTGATTGTTTAGTCTGGATTCAATCTAAATTTACTCTAGATCCGTCAAATTTTGTTGCCCAATCGAACATTTTTAGAGTAATCTAAAATTTTTGTAGTTGTGTTAGTAGATATCCGAGAGAGGTCGCTACTGGCGAGAGAGAGAGGTCGCTATTGGCGAGAGAAAGGTCAGGCTAAAGATAGTTATGGCAAGACATCCCTCCTTAGCAGATCAGACTTGAGATTGCTGGTGG